GCAGCGAAGTGTCGGTGCGCAGAAACAGCGACGGGTCAGCAGTCGACGGAGCAAACCCAAGAGCCGCAAGTGTCGTCCTCAGTGTGTCGTGCCACTCACGTGGCGCCTGGCGGAGACCGTAGACCGGCCGCCTGAGGCTCCACTGGGTACCAGGAGGGAACGACCCAGTGAAGCCAGGTGGGCGGCGCAGCCAGATCTCCTCATGCAGGCTGCCCTGTAAGAAGGCTGTGCTGAAGTCAAGAGAGTGAAGCTCGTAGTCACGCTGAGCGGCAACGTGCAGCAGCACCCGAAGAGTGGTCATCTTCGGGGTGGGGGAGAAGGTCTGGAAGAAGTCTACTCCCTCTCGCTGACTGAAACCTCGTGCAACGTAACGCGCCTTGAAGGCAGGCGGAGAACCCGGCGGCCGCTTCACCCTGAAAATCCACATGCCACTGACGATGTTCGCCCCAGGTGGGGGAACCTCGTCGACGTAGGTGCCTGTGGACTTCCAGGATGCCATCTCTGCGTCCATGGCTGTCTGCCACTGAGAGGAGTACTCACCCGCGATCGCCTCAGCGTACGAGCGCGGGGTCGGGATGTCTGGAGCATCCGGGTCTCCCTCAGGGGCAAGCAGCATGGACACGAGATGAGGCGCAGCGGCTGCAAGACACTCAAGGTCCTCCTGCCTGTCCTCAAAGACGTCCGTGCCAAGAGCACACTCACCCCCGACGGACGGAGGACAGATAGACTCAGACTCAGCAACAAGACTAGCGGCGTAGTCTAGACGACAGGCAGCAGCAAAGTCAACAAGCTCAGCAACTAAGGCAGACGTAGCAGCAGACTCAAACGACGGGTCAGTGACAACAGTGGCTAGCAGATGCGTGACAGTAGGGTGCTCAGCACGAAACCGGTCAGACTCGGGGTCCGCAAAGACAGGCAGAGAAGACGCAGGAGGGGACGGCAGAGGAATACGCTGCGGAGGAGAGGAAGGACGACGGACTACGAGGTGGGTGTCGGGGACAGCCGGCAGACGCGGACGAGGAACACGACGACCGGAACGACCAGAACCGACAGGCGAGACAGGACGCGACGCAGGCTCACGATGCTCAGTAAGACCCCCTAGCTGCTCAGTGTAAGGAGAAGGAGCAGGCAGCGGTGAGCCAGGCTGTAACGGAAGACCAGTAGACGAAGGGAGACTAAGAACCTGGCGAAGCACAGAGTCAGGCGGTGGCTGAGACGACGGAGACGGTGGAGCGAAGAACAGGCGCGGCTGTGCAGTGACACCAGCACCAGCAGCTCCAGTACCCCCATCAGCTCCAGCACCTCCAGCAGCTCCAGAACCTCCAGCGTCAGCACCCTCAGCAGCTCCAGAACCTCGAGCTCCAGCGCCACCAGCGCCAGTACCTCCAGCAGCTCCAGAACCTCCAGCACCAGCACCCTCAGCAGCTCCAGAACCTCCAGCTCCAGCGCCACAAGTGCCAGCACCTCCAACAGCTCCAGAACCTCCAGCACCAGCACCCTCAGCAGCTCCAGAACCTCCAGCTCCAGCGCCACCAGCGCCAGCACCTCCAACAGCTCCAAAACCCTCAGCGCCAGCTCCTCCAGGACCAGCTCCACCAACAGCAGCACCCCCAGAACCGGCACCTCCAGTCCCAGGGTCTCCAGCCTCAGTGCCTCCAGCAGCAGCACCCTCAGGCTCAGCACCTCCAGCCCCAGCAGCTCCAGTACCTCCAGTACGAGCACCTCCGGGACCAGCACCACTCCCAGCTCCAGTGACGTCAGCAGAAGTACCTCCAGCGGCAGAGCCCCGAGCTCCAGAAGCGCGACCCTGACGGCGACCGTACCAGTCGTGCAGCTGCTGCGAGGTGAGAGGCACACGCGGACGAAGGCGGCTACTCCAAGGAAACCGCGCAACAGCGGACTCAGAACCCTCAGCGCCAGTACCCGCAGGCCCGTAAGGCCCACGCGCCGCACCTGCAGACACGTCACCCCTGCGAGCCGCCCCTGCAGGCCCGTCAGGCCAGGGCGCCGCCCGGCCAGGTAGCTGCCCCACGCGTCGCGCTGCAGCCCCCCGCGTCGCGTCCGCTGCCCGCGCGTCGCGCTGCAGCCCCGCGCGTCGCGTTCGCTGCCTGCGCGTCGCGCTGCAGCCCCGCGCGCCGCGGCTGCCGTCCTCGCGGCTGCCCTTCTCGCCACTGGTGAGCACCTACCTGCCTGCCTTCCTGCCTGCCTGCCACGCCTGCTTGCCTGCCTGCCTACCGCGCCTGCCCTGCCCGCGCTCCTACTACTGCTAGACTGCTGCTGCTGCTGCTGCTGCTGCTGCTGCTGCTGCTGCTGCTGCTGCTGCTGCTGCTGCTGCTGCTACTACTGCTACTACTGCTACTGGCGGTGGCCAGATGCAGCTCCAGCGACGTCCGCGCGAGTCTCTCACGCCTCAGCAGCTTCGTGAGTGGTACGCTAGTTGGGGTTGTGGCGGTAGCCGTCGTGGCTGTCGCCCTGGGGCTGGTCGGTCGGGAGCGTCTGGCAGTGGCCAGCTGCAGCTGCAGCGGCGTCCGCGCGAGACACTTACGTCCCGGCAGCTTTACGAGTGGTACGCTCAGAGTCGAGGGTCTCGGAGTACCGTTCGCTGCCCGTACGTTCTTCGCACAGGTGATCGGGCTGGTCAGGCTTGCGGGACACTTGGTCACACCCAGTCCCGCTGCTTCGCCCGTCTGAGCGACGCCTGGCGTACCGAGTTTGGCGACGAGGCTGAGCTCCCCACCTGGCTGGAGCTGCTTGGGCAGAGGGTAGATATCTTTGCTCTTGACTATGATGCTATTCTCACTGCCATGTATGCATTGCCTACTAGTGCTGACCGTGCCTGTTCCCTGTGCGTACCGCCTGACCCAGGTATAGAGCCTGCTGCCCTAGGTGCTGGTGAGGCTGCTGCTCTAGGTGCTAGTGCGTCTCCTGCGCTAGGTGCTGGTGAGGCTGCTGCTCCAGGTCCTGGTGAGTCTGCTCGCTCTGATACCATGTCACAATCTATTAGCAGGAATGAATGAACTATGAAAGAGTTGGGTACAAGTATGAAACCCTAAAAGGGGGTGTACCTCATATTGGCTACCCCACTACAGCCTACACATATATAACATGCATATACTTTGACACTTGCTTGTGAACATCCTCCTTTGCTCATTCTCTCTTGCCTAGCTAGGTAAACCCTAGCTATGGCTCCTCCTTGTGCCTACTGTTCTGACACGTCGGTCCTCTGCGGAGTGGAGTCAGGCCGACTTCGGCGACTCATGCGTCGGCTGGTCGAGACGGAGGCATCGCGCCGGCGTACGGATATTTTAAATTTTCGCCGGACAAGATCGCTGTGCCGAAGCTGCTGGAAGGTCGACACGACTTGATCACATGGATCGAATCCATTGAGCCTCAGCTGGAGATCGCCGGATTGAAGAAGTTCGTCGACGGAACTGTTCTGGCGCCGGACAAGGAGGATGTGGAGCTCTGGTCGGAATTTCGCGCTGCTCACCTTCTGACCTTCATGGTGATTTCGAGGTGTTGCTCGCCTCTGGTGCAAGTCGCATTGAAGTCGTGCAGACTTCGAGTGGATGCTGGCTACCAAGCGTACGGATATTTTAAAGCAGCAGTATACATTTGACAGTGGCGACGGGAAGGTCACGAGCGCTAACGGCGGAAGGGAGAGCGCGCACACGATGGAAGGGAGAGCGCGCACACGACGGAAGGGAGAGCGCGCACACGACGGAAGGGAGAGCGCGCACACGACGGAAGGGAGAGCGCGCACACGACGGAAGGGAGAGCGCGCAAACGACGGAAGGGAGAGCGCGCACACGACCGTAGGGAGAGCGCGTGGGCGACGGAGGGAGTGCGCGTGGGCGACGGAAGTGGAGTTACCGAGCGCGACAGAGGGGAGTGAGCTTGACGACGGAGGGGAGTGTGCTGGGCGACGGAAAGGAGTGAGGAGGGGCGAAAGAGGCGTCGCGCGAAGGCGACGGGAGGGGAGGGAGCGTGATCGCACGTCGGGAAGGAAGCGTGAGTGACGGGAGGGAGTGCTCATCCTCTAATGAGGGGCGTGCGCGAAGGCGACGGGAGGGGAGTGCGCGAAGGCGACGGGAGGGGAGTGCGGTATGGCGGTGGAGGGAAGTGAGCGACGGCGGCCTTACCGCGTGGGCGACGGAGGGGAGTGAACGAAGGCGACGGCGATGATATAAATGGACCAAAATCTTCTGTAAGGCGGAATGCTCTACCCTGGACAGAGAACCGGGCGCGGCTAGGAACAACCGCGACATCGATGCGCCTGGCGAAGGGGCAGTGAAACAGCGGACGACGATGGGCATATGTGCGTGAATGGGCATGGCTAGCTACGTGCAGTGAAAACGAGATGTAAGGCGCGCGGCTCAGCAAGGGCGACTGTTACCGTCGGAATGGAAGCATGGTCCCAGAGCGTAATGCGGAACCCTAAACCGACGTGGAAGTCGGCGCGGTGACTCTCTTCTAAGCTATGACTTCCCCAAGTTTGGCCCTGAACTCTGTTTTTTGTCGACCTGAAATACAGATTTTGAGATTGGTGTGCACACCTCAGCCAAGAGTGGTGGTGAGACCCCTGCGATCCTTCCCTACGCACCCTGCGACTTTCCTCCCGTTTTGAAGGTGAGACCTGGTAACCACCCTGGTTCGGGAGGAGAGGTGTTAACACCTCCCAACTTTTTTTGTAATTCAGGCTTCGGGTTTTATTTTTTTTGTAATTCAGGTCTTGGGCCTTTAAAGCACCAAACGCGTCGATGACTAACAAGAACTTGTTGACTCGATGTACTCGGTGTCACAAACTTCATGCAGGAAGCAACTCCAAACCACGCTCTAGCGCGCCGTGTTCAGAACGTTTATTTTTCCGCCCAGTCCACGCCACGCTGTTCCAAGGAGGTCGTCCCGCACACGTCACGACTCAACTTTCACGAATCACGAGTCACGAGTCACGAGTCGACAAGGGAAGTTTTCTACAAAAGTGTTACTTGCCACATTCAATGGTGTCAGAAATAGAACACAACGCGTCTTTTACCGCTGCTGATACCTCTCATCTCACGAGTCACGCCCTCGCATCGCTGTCAACTCTCGCACTTCGCACCACCATGTCCCCCTCCCCCGGCCCCTCCTCCTCCCCCTCCCCTTCTCTCTCGCTCTCACCCGCCCGCTCTCGGTCCCTTTCCCGCGCCACCGGCGCCATCGTCGGCGCGTTCGCCGGCGACGCGGCCGGGGCGGTCTTAGAGTTCGGAGGCGTCGTCACCGCAGTGGCAGCGCGCCGCGCCATGACCATGCCGGGCGGCGGCGTCTTCCGTGTGGGTCCCGGGCAGATCACGGACGACAGCGAGCTCGCGCTCTGCCTCGCGCGCGCCCTCGTCGTCGCGCGCGCGCCGCCTGCTGCCACTAGCGGCGCGAGTACTAATACCAGTAGTAGTCACTCTCCCCCGCCGGCGGACGCGCCTTTCAGCGCGGGTGGTTCCGCGTCGCGCGGAGCCGAGCCTGCAGCGGCGGAGCCGGGAAGCGGCGGCGCAGCGGGAGCAGCGCGCGGGGGGTACTGGGAGGGCGGGTTCCCGCTGGGGCGAGTGGCGCGCGCGTACCATTGGTGGGGGTTCTCCAGGCCGTTTGACATGGGCAACACGTGCGCCACCGCGTTCCGCTTCCCCCACCCGCCTCCCCCCGGCGGTGGCTTTGTCTCTTCCTCCTTCTCCCCGTACTCCTCAGCGGAACAAGCGAAGACGGAGAAACTGGAGTGGCAGATGGCGAAGCAGATGCAGACAAACGCCGCAACTTGCATGAACAGCCAGGCGAACGGCGCGCTGATGCGAGTGACGCCGCTGGCGGTGTGGGCGCACCGCCTGCCCCCGCACGCCGTGGCGCAGTGCGCTGCTCTGGACGCGTCGCTCTCGCACACCAACCCCACGTGCCGCGCCGCCTCCTCTGCTTACTGTATCGCCATCGCGCACCTCATCAACAACCCAGGGGATGCGCAGGGCGCGTTTGAGGAGGCTGTGGCGTGGGCGGCCGGGGAAAGGAAGCGGGGAGGTGAGATGTGGGCGGTGGGCGGAGGGAAAAAGGGAGGGGCTGAGACGGTGGGTGAGTGGCTGGAGCACGTGCGGGTGGCAGTGGCAGCAGAGGGGGGTGGGGAGGGGAGCGGGGCAGCGAGTGGGGCTGGTGCAGCGGCGGGCAGAGGGAGCGCAGGGAGCGGTGTGCAGGGCAGGCAGGGCGGCAGGGGGTCTGTGGGTGGGTGGGGGAAGCAGGCGCTGCAGCAGGTGATGGGCGCACTGGGGGCAGGTGGGAGGGGAAAGGCAGGAGAGGCGGGAAAGGGGGGAGAGCAGGGGGAGGAGAAAGGGGTGGAGCATGGAGGAGAAGGTCCGCAGGCATGTGTGACGGACACACAAGGCAATGACACCAGCAAGCAGACTGGTGGCAAGGGGTGTGTGCTGCAGGTGGAGTGCACACAGTTCATAGGGTGGGTGAAGTGGGGCTTCCTTCTCGCCTTCTACCACCTACTTCGGAGGTCCAGCTACGAGGAGGCGATCGAAGACACGCTGATGCGAGGGGGGGACACGGACACAAATGCGGCTATTGTGGGCGGGATGGTGGGCGCACTGCATGGAGTGGAAGGGATGGAGGAGGTGGAAGGGGGTCAACAGAGTCAAGGTGGAGGGGTGCCGAGAGCAATGGTGGAAAGGGTGGTGGGGCGAGATTTCTCCAAGGGAATAGAGAGGCCTGTAGAGCTGAGGCCAGCGGACCTGCTGGCGCTCTGTGAGGCGCTCTTCCTCTTGGCCCCACAGGAAAGTGCAGTTTGAAGAGCAAGCATGTGTGTTTGTCAAATGTTTATATGTTCTAGATGTTAGTTATCTAGGCTACAGTGAGTTGCCCTCTAAAGGGTACAACATTCTCTAGGTCGACTTGTATCCCATTGTTCCTACTCACTCAAACCATTCCCTCGACACTTGTTCCTAGCCTAATTTAAGATGGTATTAGAGTAGTTAATTTTTCTCCCTCCCACGCTTCCGCTCCCTCCCTTAGCCGGTCCCGAGGCGCCCGTCCCTTAGGCCCCGTTTCGTCGGGGGTAGGACGGTCCCCGCGGGCCTCGTTTTCGTAGCGTTCAACGGCCCCCGCGGGCCTCGTTTTTCGTCGCGCATAAAGGGCCCCGCTGGCCCCTCGTCGTCGTGCTCCAGAAGGGACCCCCCCCGCAGGCCCGCGTAGTCGTGCTTAGCCCGCAACAGCCGCGCATGCACGCAGCAGGCACACACGCACCAACAGCAGCAGCGCGCGCGTTAGCCAGCGGCAGCCGCGCACGCCACTGCAGCACGCACATTGCAGCAGCAGCGCTCGCATTGCAGCAGCAGCGCGTGCATTGCTGCAGCAGCGCGTGCATTGCAGCAGCAGCGTGTGCATTGCTGCAGCAGCGCGTGCATTGCTGCAGCAGAGCGTACATTGCTGCTGCAGCACGGCTAGGCAGCAGCTAGCCGCCAGCAGCTCGCCGCCAGCAGCAGCTAGCCGCCAGCAGCTAGCCGCCAGCAACTAGCCGCCATCAGCAGCTAGCCGCCAGCAGCAGCGAGCCGCCAGCAGCTAGCCGCCAGCTACCCCCCTCCCACCCGCCCACAGCCACTTCCAACCGCTCACAGCCCCTTCCAACCGCTCACAGCCACTTCCAACCGCTCACAGCCCCTTCCAACCGCTCACAGCCCCTTCCAACCGCTCACAGCCCCTTCCAACCGCTCACAGCCCCTTCCAACCGCTCACAGCCCCTTCCAACCGCTCACAGCCCCTTCCAACCGCTAACAGCCCCTTATCACGCACGCATACCACCCAGGACCACCCGACCTCCGTTGGTTCGACACTCGCGTCACTCATACTTATAGTGTTTCGCACCGTCGCGGCTGGAGGCCGCTCCACTTAGCTGTTTAGGCTAGTCCTGACGTTCGTTGTTAGCTGTTACCATTCCATGCACAGACGCATGCACGCACACGGACAACAAGCCGAGTGCAAACCGTAGGTTGCACCAACACGAGCTCCTTCCACCGACTGAGGCCGCTCACTTCGACCTGGTAGAGACTGTGAAGGAGGTGTATGATGCTATTTCTGCACGCTATTCCACCCCTTCCTCTGCCTCCCTCAGCCGCATCCTCATGCCGTTCGTGTTTCCCGACCTCGGCTCGTTTGCGACTATCTCTGACCTAGCCACACACATGCGCTCCCTTGTCGCTAGCTACCGAGCAGCTTGCACTGAGGCTCAGCTTCTTGTTGCCCCTCCTCCTATCTGGCTCACCGTCCACTGAGTAGTCACTCGTCTCCCTGACTGCCTCTCCACTGCCCGTGACGCACTTCTCCAGCAGCACCCCAGTGAGCTTACGATTGATCTTCTCGAGACCACTCTCGGGAAGATCGAGAGTAACCTCCTCTCTGTTGCCTCAGCCACTGACGCAGTTGCCCCTCGTCTGTTTGAGGGGTGTGCTGTCCCCCAGCTTCCTACCTTCACTGCTACTCGTGCCTCTGCTGCTGTGTCGGTCTCTGAGGACACTGCAGCTGTTTCTGCCACTGACAGGCAGAAACGGGGCAAGGGAGGCAAGAAAGGGGGGAAGGGGGGTGGCGACGGTGGAGGAGGTGGCGGTGGTGGAGGCGGCCCTGGGGGCGGCAGTGGTGGCGGTGGCGGTGGTGCCCCAGACGGAGGGAGCTCTGGAGGAGGTGCTGACCCGCCTGCTGGAGGAGGTTCGACCAGAGGTGGTGCGGGGCCCCAGCAGCAGCAGCCACAGCAGCAGCAGCCACAGCAGAGACAGCAGCAGCAGCAGCAGGGACAGCAGCAGTGGCAGGCACCACAGCAGTTTCAGTCGTGGGGACCCCCACTGCAGTGGGGTCCGCAGCAGCACTGGGGCCCTCCGCCACAGTGGGGACCTGGAGGACCCGGGAGCACTGGCCGCAGCAGCAGCACTACCAGCTGGGCCCCTCGCCCCCCGCGGCGCGACACCGGCCCCTGCGACCACTGGTGCGTCACCGGACCGGGCAGTCCCTGTGTCTGCGGCCGCGACGACCACTCTGCAGCGCGGTGCTTCCGCCGCCTTGACGACCTCTACCGTGCACGCTGGGGTCCTGAGGCGACCACCCCGCGCTGGGCTCGCCTGCTAGCTCGTAAGATTCCTGTATTTGAACTGTCTATGGACGATGCTCGTCAGTATGCTTTGTATGCTGATGTTGACTAGAGTGCTGATGGATATGTGTGCTCGTGTGTTCGTAGTCTAGGATGCCTGCCTCCTGTTAGTGTAGACCTGTGCCTCTCTAGTCTAGGTGCTTGTGTCTCTGCTCTAGATGCTTGTGTAGCCTCCAGACCTGCCACGCCTCCGATTGAGGCGTCTCTGTCGTTCACGCTGGACTCTGGCGCGTCGCAGTGTTTCTTCCGCGACCGCACGACCCTCACACCACTCCTTGCTCCGGTTCCGGTAGCTCTGGCTGATCCTTCTTCAGGACCAGCCGTTGCGCGCAGCTCCACCACCTTCCCGTGCCCTGTGGTCCCCTCTGGTGTCCTGTGCGGCCTCCACATCCCCTCGTTCACTCGGAACTTGGTGGGTGTTGGATACCTCCAGGACAGGGGGATCACCGTTACTTTTGTGGGGGGTGGGAAGACTGCGGTCTGTACAGACGCCGCTACAGGTGCGGTTCTCGCCACGTTTACCAGGGAGTCCCGCTCTGGTCTCTACGTTCTCCACACCGAGCGCTCCCCGGTTACTTCCTCCGTTCAGGTCGCTGCGTCCCCTCAGGTCTCAGTGTCTAGTCCGGTTGCTGTGTCTGGTCAGGTAGTGGTGTCTAGTCAGGTTGCTGCGTCTTGCTCCTGTCGGTCCCTCGCCCACCCAACCGTCTTGTGGCACCACCGCCTTGGCCACCTGTTGCTCCCCCGCCTCCGCACCATGGCCAGTCACAGTCTTGTCTCAGGTCTCCCGCGCGTCTTTCCGTCGCTCCCTCCCTCGCTTGCCCCACCCTGCACTCCTTGCGTCGACGGCCGCCTGCGCGCCACTCCGCACTCTTCCTCCCTTCGTCCGGCCACTGCTCCTTTCCAGACTCTCCACCTGGACGTCTGGGGCCCTGCCCCTACGCTGGGACCTGAGAGGGAGCACTACTTTCTAGTGGTCGTTGACGACTACTTCAGGTACACCACGGTATTTCCTCTCGCGAAGAAGTCCGAGGTGACTTCTACGCTGATCCGGTGGCTTCTGGCCACTGAGGGCACTCGTGGTAGTCGTGTCCGTTGTCTATACTCCGACCGTGGGGGTGAGTTTCGCTCCGGCGTCCTTGCCGGGTTCTGCGGCGAGCAGGGCATCAGACAGTCCTGGACGCTGCCGGAGTCCCCACAGCAGAATGGGGTTGCTGAGCGCCGCATTGGCTTGGTCATGGACATCGCCCGCACGTCCATGATCCATGCCCGTGCGCCCCATTTTCTGTGGCCCTACGCGCTGCGCTACGCCGCGCACCAGCTGAACCTCCAGCCGGGTGTCTCGCGGCCAGAGGAATCACCGACCAGTCTTTGGACTGGGTCCCCTGGTGTTGGGTCGGCCTTTCACGCCTGGGGCTGCCTTGCGCTTGTCCGCGACACCTCTATGGACAAGCTCTCGGCTCGCGCCATACCCTGTGTCTTCCTTGGTTTCCCGGTGGGCTCTCCCAACTACTCCTTTTACCACCCGCCCCTCCACCTGTTTCTAGACTCTCGTGATGTCCGGTTTGATGAGTCAGTGTCCTACTACACTCGCTACCCCTGTCGAGGTCTCCCGGTTCCCCCTCCCCCCCTCTTCCTCGCACCCTCTCTTCCCCCTGCTCCCGCTCCTCCGGTACCCCCACCCCCCCCTGGTCCTGCCCCGTCCGGTGTGTCTCACGCTACCCCTCTACCCTCGGTCGCGCGTCAGGTAGCATCTCCCTCCCCGCAGTCCTCCTCACAGTCCCCTCAGCAGCCTTCGGCACTTTTGCGACAGATTACTGTGGACTCAGTTGGTGTTGGAGCTGGAGGTGCAGACGCTGGCGGTACTCGGTCTGAGGGTGCTCGTTCGAGGGGTGCTGGAGTTGGAGGTGCTGGCGCAGGTGGCGCTATCTCTGGGGGTGCTGGAGCTGGAGGTTCTGGCACTGGAGGTGCTAGTTCTGGGGGAGCTGGAGCTGGAGGTGCTGGCACTGGAGGTGCTAGTTCTGGGGGTGCTGGTGCTGGAGGTACTGGCACTGGAGGTGCTAGTTCTGGGGGTGCTGGTGCTGGAGGTACTGGCACTGGAGGTGCTAGTTCTGGGGGTGCTGGAGCTGGAGGTGCTGGTACTGAGGAGACGGGAGCTGGAGGCTCGCCTACTGCGTCGCCCACTGCGCGTCCCCACTGCCACGACACCCGCTTCCAGGCCCTTCGCCGGCTTGAGCGCGAGGAGCAGGAGCGGGTGGAGCAGGAGAGGCAGGAGCTGCAGCAGTTGGACCACCAGCAGCAGCAGCAACAGCAGCAGCAGCTGTTCCCTCCAGTGAGTGCCCTTCGGGCCCTTGGTCTTCCTTCCTCTCCTCTTGTCCACTCCCAGTCACCTACTGCGTACAGCCCTACGTTTCCTCCTCCGGACTCGACTCTGGCTGTTTTCTCTCCTCCTCAGTCACGGTCGTATCCTCCTGTTGTCCCGCACGACTGGACCAGTCGTTGTCCTCCACGTGCTCGGCCCTCGTCTCCGTTTGCCGACCTGCGCACTGTCTTGTTTCGTTCTCCTCCTCGTCGTTCTCCGCCTGTGTTTGTTCTCCCCTCACCTCCTGAGTCGTCTCTCACCGTTTCCTCTCACCCTATCACTGACTACTACCGTGCTGCTCGCCCTGTTGTCTCCCGTGTTCTCGCCTCTCTTGTCACCGACCCTCGTGCCACTCCGTCGTCTGTCTCGGCTCTTACTGCCGCTGTCGCTGACTTTGCTTCCACCCGCCATCTTGACTACGCTACGCGTGTGGTGGCTGCTCCACCTCCCCGTCCTCTGTCCGTCGGGGGTGAGTCTGCCCTTGGCTGTGACGTCCTAGAGGACAGGCAGTTTGAGCTGGAGTTCTTAGCAGCCGCTTCCCCCTC